GCCAACATTATATTGTGTCCATCTCTTGCCCAATCTATCATCACAGATTTAACTTGTTCGTCCTTTGTATGCCATTCTAACAACAAATTATACATTTTAGAGAGATTTTTAACATTGGTATCTAACAATTCCGTTTCCAATTTAGATTTTTCTGTTGCAAAACCATTTTTCTTATCAAGTTTATATAGTTCATTAATCTGATAACATTGTAACCATCCATCCAATTTATCTTTAATTTTATCAAATGGTCTTAATTTAAATTCTTCATTATCTTTCACTAGTAAATCAGCATATTTCAACCATTTACTCTCCATATTCAACTTTTTCTGTGCGTTTGCTTCCATTGGTGAAAACCATCAGGGTGTTTTCCTTTGCAAGAGAGCTTTATATCTTATCCATACATTATATAAAGATTTTCTAATTACATGGTTTTTAAAACCTTTATGAGCCAATATCTTGTCATCCCACAAGTATGCATGCCAACCAAATACATTGTCAAATCCTTCCAAATCTAACACATCAGCACTATCTATTTGAATCCATTCCTTAATCCAGCAGAAAGCTGCTGCCTCAAAATAAATCTTCAAATCTTGCAGGGAAAATCCCCCTCTCTCTTTTGCATCTGTTAATATTTTATCTTTAATTCTAGGTTTTTTCCCCTGCCAGATAAATTTAGACAATGCTTTCTGCCATTCTTTAAAACGTCTAACACTGTCAATAATTGGTAAAGCTTGGAATAAAAACATCTTTGGCAATACATTCATCTTAACCACCGATATTCGGCCCATTAATGACAATTTTAAATTTGACCAGATCTCAAGTTCTCTCTTAATTTCACTCCATAGTTTCTTATAATTACCTTATATAAATTCAAAATTTTCACTGATAAATTCACACCCAAATATTTCACTTTCTTCACAAAAACAATGCCTGTCTTTCCTGAAGTATTTTTCTCTCCTCATTATCTAAGTTCCCCCCCAACACTTTGGTTTTGCTCTTATTTAACTTGAATCCTGCTACTTGTCCGAACTCCTGAATCAGCTCCAGTGCTTTCACTGCACTGGAGTCTGGGTCTTCTAAAGTTAACACCAGATCATCAGCAAAGGCTTTTAACTTAGATTGTTTAGAGCCTACTGTTATTCCTTTAACCGCTTCCTCTTTTCTCAGCATATTTCGCAAAACCTCCAGGACCGAAATAAAAAGCAGAGGGGAAAGTGGGCACCCTTGCCTGGTTCCTTTCTCAATTCTAATTTCTTCTGAAACCACATTATTAACTATAATTTTAGCTTTTTGTTCAAAATAGATTGCATTAATACCATTTAAGAATTCTTGTCCAACCTCAATACTGTCTAAATTCCTTTTCATAAAACTCAATGAAACATTATCAAAGGCTTTCTCAGCATCAATAAACATGAACATCGCTTTAGAGTTGTTTTTTTAACACCCAACCTTTCATATGTCTCCCAAGCAGAAATCCTGCCTGATCCTTGTGATCTGTTAGCACCTTCTTCAACCTATTGGCCAAAATGTTAGCAAAAAATTTGTAATCCACTTTCGAGTAGTGAGATTGGTCTATAATTTTTCATGTTGGACCTATCTTGATCTGGTTTTGGTATCAGGGTTATAAAAGCTTCTTTCCAGGTTTCAGGTGCTTTGTCCCCTCTTAATATCTTGTTGCATACGTCCATCAATGGCTGAATAAGCCAGTCTTTCAGGGTCTTATAGTACTTTACTGACAAACCATCTGGCCCTGGTGCTTTGCCTAGCTGCATCTGATTTACTGCATTCTCAACCTCTTGTCTTGTAATCCATCTATTAAGCAGGATCTTTTTATTTTAGGGAATTTTTTGCAATCCATTTAAATTGCTCAATTTTATCTTTATCTTCTTTTCCACTTTTATACAGCTGTTTATAATACTTCTGAAAGCATCTTCTTATCTCTGCAGGGTTCTCCACAGACTTTCCTTCTGATACAATATTAGGAATAGTACTTTGTTTCTGTCTCTTTTTTAATTGTCAAGCAGGCAGTTTTCCACATTTATTTGCAGATTCAAAATTCCTTTGTCTCATCATCCTTATTTTCCATTCCATTTCCTGGTTTATAATCTGGGAATACTGAATCTGTAAAGCTTTAATTTCCTTTTGGATCTGCAGGTTCTTTGGGTTACATCTCAAATTCTTCTCTTTATCTTTTAATTGAGACAAAATGTTATCTATTTTTTCATTCTGTATCTTTTTCTTAATCAAATTTTGTTGTATGAGGAATCCTCTCATCACCGCTTTACTTGCATCTCAAACGACTCTTGTTTCCACCTCAGAATTCATATTTGTCTCAAAGTAATCTTTAAGAGTCTTTTAGGCTTTCCCAATCGTCTGTTCATTCCTCAACAAATCATCATTCATTCTCCATCTGAAGGATCCCTGCAGAAATATTTTCATTTCCAATAACACAGCATTATAATCAGAGTCTGGGCATATTTCAACTTTGGTTACTCTGGGAACAATGTCTCTGGATATCCATAAATAGTCACTTCTTGAGAATGATTGATTTGCATCGGGATAGAATGTGAAGGCTTTTTCTGTTGGATTTCTCACTCTCCATATGTCTGACAGATCAAATTTGTCCACCATTTCAAAAAAGACCTTCTGTAGTCTGCCAGAATTCATAACTTTCTGTCTCTGTGTTCTATCCATAAGCGTTGATACAACACCATTCAAATCTCCCATCAAAATCAATTTGTAATCCATATAATCCAGAAGTCTTGTTTCCAGATTCTTAAAAAATTCCGCTTTGCCATCATTTGGTGCATGAATTCCTAAGAGCAAATATTTCTTGCCTTGTGCCTTGACTTCTACTGCAATATATCTTCCCTCCTCATCTTTAAACAACATTTTAGGATTCCATTTTTCTTTAATGTAAAACCACTCCTCTTTTCTTCACTTTGTCTGATGAAATGAATTCCTGTCCAAGTCTCTTATTCTGAAGTACTTTTCTATGTAATCTGGTGACATGAGTTTCTTGCAGACAAATTATATCCAAATTCTGTTTTGCTAACACATGATATACTTGGTTCCTTTTTAGTCGTGAGTTCAAGCCGTTAACATTCCAAGAGTAAATTCTCAGTGCCATCTTATGATATTAGGGAGCCCCCGCACCTGCCCCCGATGCCTGTGGACTTTCCAATCCAAGTTCCTCAACGTTTCCCCCCAAAAAAACCTCATTTTTTATTCAACAGTCTTAATTCTTTGTTTCCTTCCTTGAAATTTGAAGGAGAGGCCCTCTGGGAACTCCCACCTGAAGAAGATATTCTTCCTTCTCAGAGCTCCAGCCAGGTCCACGTAGTTGTTCCTTAAATTCAAAAAGTGTTTTGGAATCTCCTTGAACAAAACAATTGGCTTGTCTTTTATCTTCAGACTTTTTTTGTAATGTAGGCTCAAAATCCTGTCTCTCTCTTCCTTTGTCTTGAAAACCAGTATACAGTCATATACCACTTTTGAATCTTTCTTAGGCCCAAACCTATAGGCCATCTCAATCCAGGAATTTAACTCGTCTTTTTCCAGATCCCAGCAGGCTGCAAACTCCTCAATTAGCCAATCCTTAAGATTATCTTGTTCCAATTGAGGTGTGCCTCTCACTCTCAGTTGGTTCTCACGTTCCTTCATCTGTAAGAAGGCAATTGCATTAAGCGCCTCCTGTTGGGTCCTCTCCACATCAAGTACTCTCACTGTTTCCAATTCCATCAGTCTTTTTTCCGTGACCAGCAACTTCTTCCCTGACCTCTTGAAAACCTGATTTCAAATCTGTAAATTCTTGTTTTAGCTCCTGTACATTCTGCTGGGTTCCTTTAACATCTGTTCTTATTTCTGTTAACATATGCATCACCGACTCTTCAAAAGTTGGTTTTGGAGCCTCTTTTGTCTTTAACTTGGCTTTTCTCAGGTTTATCTACCCCATTAGCCGTAACTATTCCAAAGTGTCAAGGTCAAGTCACCCAGTCACAGTCCACAAAATTTTTAGTATGCAGGCAGCAGCAGGCAGCTCCTCCCTTTCAAAGTCTTATTCTTTTTTTAAAAAACCACCACAATAAGCTCAAACACAATGGAGCGGCATCTTGCCATTAAAGTAAGGAGTGTTGGGTTTGGCTGTCCTTTCTTGGTATTAGTTGACATTTTTATTTCTTCTCTATATAAACACTGATGTCAGGATACAGGAAGCTTCTGATTCTAAGCAGCTGCCAGGGTTGGAAAATGGCCCAGAGCAAAGAGAGGGGAGGTTGTCATGGAAACACTCTCCCAGAATGTAGGTGAAAGGCCGAACTGCACAGATAGCCTCTCAGAAATGGTGGGCCAGCCTTTGAGTATTCAAGAGCGGGGGGGGGTTACAGCAAAGAGGATGCGATTAGTCCCTGCATACGAAGAGAAGGTTCCTCCCACGTTGCATTTGTAGGATGAAACATGACAGTGAGAACTTAGTTGGTTCTCTCTAGTTCTCTGGCTTTACATGTTTTTGAGAAATCCATGCTTTCATCCTGTATGTTTATATTGTGAAATATTCAGATGTAGGGTATATAAATTTTAAAGATGAAAATAAATAAGGATAATGACAAGTTGGAACACGTGCAAAGGAAGGCAATTTATGTCTTTAATTTGTATAATACTCGACCCAGTGGTGCTGAATTGAATAAAATATTGGTGGTGGGATAAGGTAAGGCCCGCCTAGCACAATCGATCACATGGTGCATGCATGCCATTGGAATGGCAATGCCTACCAACTGGGGGGGTGGCCCCTTCAAATATATTATTGGGGAGCAAAGACCCCTCGGCCTCTAAGGGTAGGCTCCTAATCCCTGTTCCCACATGTCGCAGGATGGTTACAACAGAAAAGCACAATATAAAAACACAATACACATCTGTAAACCCCCTCCCCACCACATTTGAAAAGGACATTACATGTCAATCAGCCAAAGGCCTGGTTAACAAGGTGCGGATTTGCCTTTCTCCTAAAGCTGTATAATGGTTTTTCCAAACTTTGTATGAAATCTTCGATGGGAAGTGAGAGAGTAGCTCCGACTAAAGCTCTTTCCACATTCCACACACTGATAGGGTTTCTCCCCTGTATGAATTCTGTGATGGGAAGTGAGATATGAGCTCTTCCTGAAGCTCTTTCCACATTCCATACACTGATAGGGTTTCTCCCCTGTATGATTTTTTTGATGGGAAGTGAGATTGGAGCTCTGACAGAAGCTCTTTCCACATTCCACACACTGATAGGGTTTCTCCCCTCTATGAATTCTTTGATGGAAAGTAAGAGAGGAGCTTTGACGGAAGCTCTTTCCACATTCCACACACTGATAGGGTTTCTCCCCTCTATGAATTCTTTGGTGGGAAGTAAGAGAGGAGCTTTGACGGAAGCTCTTTCCACATTCCACACACTGATAGGGTTTATCCCCTGTATGAATTCTCTGATGGGAAGTAAGATAGGAGTTATCAGTGAAGCTCTTTCCGCATTCCACACACTGATACGGTTTCTCCCCTGTATGAATTCTTTCATGGGAAGTGAGAGAGTAGCTCCGACTAAAGCTCTTTCCACATTCCACACACTGATAGGGTTTCTCCCCTGTATGAATTCTTTCATGGGAAGTGAGAGAGGAGCTTTTACTGAAGCTCTTTCCACATTCCACACACTGATAGGGTTTCTCCCCTGTATGAATTCTGTGATGGGAAGTGAGAGAGGAGATCTGACTGAAGCTCTTTCCACATTCCACACACTGATAGGGTTTATCCCCTGTATGAATTCTTTCATGGGAAGTGAGAGAGGAGCTGTTACTGAAGCTCTTTCCACATTCCACACACTGATAGGGTTTCTCCCCTGTATGAATTCTTTGATGGGCAATGAGATGGGAGCTCTGACTGAAGCTCTTTCCGCATTCCACACACTGATAGGGTTTCTCCCCTGTATGAATTCTTTGATGGGAATTGAGAGAGGAACTCCTACTGAAGCTCTTTCCACATTCCATGCACTGATAGGGTTTCTTTCCAATGAGATTTCTTTGATGGGATGTAGAATGGGAGCTGTGACTGCATCTCTCTCCACACTCCAAATTTTTCCGTGGCTTCTCCTCTCTGGGGATGTTGTTGTGGTCACCTTTGTTCTCGATTTCCAATTCATCACAATCTGCAATGGAAACAAAAAGGGATTAGAGCCTCAGGAACAAATGAAGAACTGAAGGGAGTTGGGTGAGTGTTCATTACCTTTGTTGTTTGTCATTAACCAACATATTTATTATTAGATTCTGATGGGTTGTTGAATGCTGCTTTGTTTGATATACAGTAGTGGTAAAATTCTCGAAGCCACAAACATGAGTCTGACCAAACTGCGGAGGAAGTGGAAGACAGGAGTGCCTGGCGTGCTCTGGTCCATGGGGTCACGAAGAGTCGGACACGACTAAACGACTAAACAACAACAGTGGTAAAATTGTGGAAGCCTTTTGGGGGAAGGTGTATTTCAGAGGTTTGATGGCTCATAACACTGGCTCATAACAGCACTTCTTTTGGAGTACTATCTTGAAATTATTTATCAATGGAAAGATAATTTAATCAAGAATGTAATGCAACAAAGTTTGTTCAATTATGTGAATTCAATCAAAAGTTATAGCAAAATAACCAAAAAAGGAAGCACAACTTGCTTAGGATGACTTTTGTCAGTGTTACAGGTAGGTAGCCATGTTGATCTGCTTTAGTCGAAACAAAATAAAAAAAATCCTTCCAGTAGCACCTTAGAGAGCAACTACGTTTGTTATTGATATGAGCTGGTATCTGAAGAAGTGTGCATGCACACGAAAGCTCATACCAAGAACAAACTTTGTTGGTCTCTAAGGTGCTACTGGAAGGAATTTTTTAATTTTGTTTTGTCTTTTTTTTTTTTTAAAAGAATATTTATTCCAATTTTACAATTACAAAAAAAGAAAAAATATAAAAAAGAGAAACACAAACCACATACATCTTATAAAAAACAGACAATAAAAAAGGAATAAGAAAAGCAGAAAATCACCGTAAAAAAAAAAGAAATAACAAAAAACATATTTGACCATTACAAACCATTTTCCCATTTACTTATTTCCATGACTTCCTCTCACCTCCCTGCTTTGTATTCTAGTTTAAATCGTATCTCCAGCAAATCCTTCTAACCTTCTTTTCTTTTACTTATTTTAACATTCGAAAGTATTTAATTCTCCTCTATCCTCATTTTACACTTCATATTTACTTATTCCATTATACCCTGTCTGCCAATACGGTCTAATATTCTTTTCCAACCTTTTTCTAACATTCTTTTATATTGCAGTGTTTCTGAAGATATATTTTAAATTTTCTCCAGTCTTCTTCCATCAACCCTTCTTCCTGATCTCGAATTCTGCCGGTCATCTCAGCCTTTTATTTTGTTTTGTCAGTGTGTTATGTGATTGCTATCAAGTTGTTGTTGGTTCTTTTGTGTTTTTTCATTTAGCGAGTTTGCAGAACATGATAAAAAATTTAAAATGGCACAAAGAGTTGACTGGTCACCAAGAAAGAAATGTAAAATAGTACTATTAAGTGAACAAGGCTATAGTTATGGAGAAATTAGAAGCAAGATTGGGGGAAACGTAACAAAAGCTGGCCTTTCTATATTTTTGAAGAGCTTTAAGGAGACTCAGTCACTACAAAATCAGACTGGTAAAGTCAGGAAAAGGTGCACAACAGCAAGTGATGATCAAAGAATGGAGAGACTGTGCCTACGTGACAGAAGAAAATCATCTGGGTGTCTACAAGATGACATGGCGCAATGTAATGTGAAGTTGAGTGCAAGGACTGGTCTAAATGCTAGAATTCCAAGGGAAAAGCCATTATCTCTCAAGCAAAGATGGAAAAGATTAAACTGGGTTAAAACCCATGGTAACTGGACAGCGGAACAATGGGAAAGTGTTCTTTGGAGTGATGAGACCAAAATCTCCTTGCTTGGCAGTGATGGCATGAAATATGTGAGCAAAAGATGTGGGACGAATTTGTGTCATCAAAGGGAATGTAAATGCTCTAAAATACATAAATGAAATACTTGAGCCCAAACTGAAGCGTTCTGCATGTGATCTTTTCCCAGATACTGAACCTTTCTATCTGTTTGTTTGTTTTCTATTTCAGCAGGATTCACCTCCATGTCATGTTGCTGCTGTGTGCAAAAGGTGGTTTCAAGATAATCAATTCCACTGCTGGAATGGACTGGGAATAGCCCAGACCTTAACCAAATTGAAAATCTATGGAGCCAACTAAAGAAACTTGTTAGTCAGAAGCAACCCAGCAATAAAGCCCAATTAATAGAGGCAATAATTCCATCTTTGTTTCACATTATTACAGCTGCAGAACTAAAAAACTTGCTTCACTCCATGGGAAGGCGTTGTAAGGCCAGAATTAAAGCTAAAGGTTCCCAAACTAAGTATTAATTGACATGGTGAGAATTTCTGTTAGAAGATTGGCAGATGAAAATGATGGACTTTGCATATCTGGTGACACTGACAGGAAAACCAGCACGATTAAGGATTCCAAAAGGGTTGGAGTAAATTTATACGATATCTGAAAGATTATTGTAAGCAATTAACATCACTAGCAGGGTTGTCTGAAGACTTGTAATGAGAAATTTTCTACCTTTCTATATTTAAATCTTGAGACATTCTGTAATAAGTGTAATAGAAATTGGAAAATGTACAAATTGCAATGATATAAATGTTAATTTCGAAATCTGAGGCCGGAGGGAAGCAAGTTGAGGCTCTAAAGAGCCAGGGTGGTATAGCGGATAATGATGATGTGAATGTACAATATTAAATGGAGAACAATTTTAAAAATTATATATATAAGAAAAAAGTGTAATTTGCTGCTCAAGGTTTATTTTGGGGGTGTTAGGTTCCTAGGTGTTGGAGGGGGCGCTGCTGAGCTCTGTGAAAATATATGAGGTTTGTCACATAGAGGTATTTTTTGAATTTCCAGGCAGATAGGATGATCCCACAGGGAGCCTTACCAAGAGAGGCCACGATCCCATGATTCTCCTCCATGACGTCCTTATGCAGAGCTCTCTGGTCAGGATCCAGCAACGCCCGCTCCTCGTCCGTGAAACAAACAGAAACGTCTTCAAAGCACACTGGACCCAGTGAACTGGACACTGGACTCTGGTGTCACAGAGTTATCTGAGCAGGAAATCCCACAGTTCACAGCTGGAGTTAACTCTTTATCAGCAAGAACACGATATTCACAGACTTGGCTGAGCTTCAGGCCTAATGAGAAGAGCAGCTCATTCCCTGAGGGTCTGTCACTTTGCATTTCTTAGTGCAGAAAGCTTGGATCTGATATTGATCTTTTCTATTCTAGTTAGTTCAAGAGGGTTCCGGAAGCTTCTCTGAATAAAAGAAACAAACAGAAGGTTCCTGATGTTTGGGTTATTCCTTCAGAGAAGCTGAGTACAGCTGGGTTAAAGTGGCTCTGTTCTCTCTTCTGTCAAGGTCATGCTGACTGTAAGAAGAGGCCAGAAGGAGCCCGGGTTTCAATTTCTCTCTCTCTCTCTCTTCCCTCTGGTGTTCTGTACATAGTATGTGTTAAGGTTTAGACTTATAATAAGTTGTGGTAAATTTAGGTAAGTTTAGGTTAAGTCTGCTGCAACTGGATTTCTTATGCACAAGGCCAATCCTGAATGTTTTGGATTTGATGCTCATTTGCCTTCAATAGCAGTAAAGCTCTGCTGGATGAAATACAATTGCCTCTGGTCTATTTTTGGGAATCCTATAACGTTATTAGGTTTCACTCTGCTAACTATACATTGGAATTCTGCTCTGGATCGATATTGAGTCAAATTCCATGTCAGGGTCTTCCTTCACGAAATCAGTTGCTGAGAGTGAAGGCCCCTGGCTCCCCACAGCTTTCCAAGTCCCCTCCTCTCTGGGGTTCAAGCGATCCAACAGTGCAGCCTGCCTTTGCTCCTCCATTGTCAGACGTCTCCGGGCTCTGAGAGACAAGCAGGGAGGGGGGCTTCTGGCAGAAGGAGAGGGAGCCAGGGTCTTTTGCCTCACCATCCCCACTACTGACTCCCTGTTGCTACTCAGCTTCCCAAAAAAAAAGTGTCCCCAGATTCATTGAAAAATATCTGGTAACCATACTCTAGCCCTCCTGGAAGGAAGATTGCAATGCAAAATGTGGAGGCAACGGAAGGGATTTATGTGATGTGAATCAGCCTGGTTGCTCCTGCCTTCCAGTAAATAATTATAATAATAATAATAATAATAATAATAATAATAATAATTCTGCATGCCAAGCAGATGCTCTTGGTTCCCCATATTTCACTAGCCTTTCAACATTATTCTATTAGCAACTGTGGAGATTCCACCTGCCTCTTTCGAAAGGAGGAAACTCGCCTGATTAAAGGATTTGAGGTGATGTATCATTAATAGGGTAAATTTTATAGAGGTGGGTAAAACCTCAGTGCCTAGGACTTGCCGATCGCATGGTCGGCGGTTCGAATCCCCACGGTGGGGTGAGCTCCCGTCGTTCGGTCCCAGCGCCTGCCCACCTAGCAGTTCGAAAGCATGTCAAAGTGCAAGTAGATAAATAGGTACCGCTTTATAGCGGGAAGGTAAACGGCGTTTCCGTGTGCTGCGCTGGTGCTGGCTCGCCAGAGCAGCTTCGTCACGCTGGCCACGTGACCCGGAAGTGTCTCCGGACAACGCTGGCCCCCGGCCTCTTAAGCGAGATGGGCGCACAACCCTAGAGTCGGACATGACTGGCCCGTACGGGCAGGGGTACCTTTACCTTTACCTATCATTTGTATACAGTGGTACCTCGGGTTAAGTACTTAATTTGTTCTGGAGGTCCGTTCTTAACCTGAAACTGTTCTTAACCTGAAGCACCACTTTAGCTAATGGGGCCTCCTGCTGCTGCTGTGCCGCCGGAGCATGATTTCTGTTCTCATCCTGAAGCAAAGTTCTTAACCTGAGGTACTATTTCTGGGTTAGCAGAGTCTGTAACCTGAAGCATATGTAACCTGAAGCGTATGTAACCCGAGGTACCACTGTACTTTTTATGAGTTCTATGTTTTCAATGTTCCTGAGATCTTTTGATGAAGGGTGGTATATCAATTCAATTAACAACAACAACAACTATTATTATTATTATTATTATTATTTATACCCCACCCATCTGGGTGGTCTTCCCCAGCCACTATGGGAGGCTTCCAACAAAATATTAAAATACAGTAATCCATCAAACTTTAAATGCTTCCGTAAAGTAAATGCATGAATTTGGAACTGACTGACAAAGGAGTCATTTGTATCTTGTGAAAAATGGATGCCTGGCTCTAGTGGGGGTCCTCATCCGGGGGTCCTCAGGAGTTGCTCCCCCACCCCCACTTCTGAGCACATTTCCCCCCTGCTTCTGTCTCCTTTTCTTGCACTCGGACTCTCTGCCGCTCTCCAGACAGACTCCTGGGGTGGGGTCCCTTTTTCTTTCTCTTGAGGGCCAGGTATGTATCTAGTCAACCCCCTGAGGGCCAAGTGGATGGGGCCAAATACATCTCCTTTGAAATTTAGGCAGCTAATTTATTATTATTATTCTCTTAGATGGCTGAACACACGCACAGCCATTGATGCCCAGGTCCCTGGAGGCTCAGTGAGTAGCAGCGCCCATTTCCGGCTGCTTTGCCAGCAACAACCCCTTTGGGAGAGAGAGGATGTGGTCCTGGGATGCCCTGCTCTGGGTGCGAGGGGATTGCTGCAGTGGCCTCCGTGGGGAGCTGCCCTGGGAGACACTGGGAAACTGGTCCCCAATGCAGCAGCCAGACTCTGGGCTGGGATCCCTCTCTTTATTCCTGGCCTTTCCTCTCCCACCTTTCCTTCCTCCCTCCCCGTGGGTTTTTTTGGGGTGTGTGGGGTGTCTAGTCCACCTCCTTGTCCAGCTTTCAAAAACCATTTGCAGATGTTTCCTCTGTTCTGCAATGACGCTGAGCGACGTCACACCGAGTTAAAGTCCCAGGGACTCCTTTGTTTAAAGAAGGAGATTTCGTGGGAGTCATTGTTTTTCTGAAGGGGGGGCGGAAGGCCAAATGAGTTTGGGATCCTCTGATCTGCAGGAAGGAGAGCGTGGCAGACCTGGCCCCTCCCTGGCAGGACCCTCTCCTCCCTGACTTGGGGTCCCCCCAGCCCCCTCCCCTGCTGCAGCCCTGGGACCCCCACCAGATCCCAGAGAGAGAGGAGACTCACCAGATCCCAGAGAGAGAGGAGACTCACCAGATCCCAGAGAGAGAGGAGACTCACCAGATCCCAGGAGGGACACCAAAGCAGGAAAGGACTGGGGAAGGGGGGGGGGATTGGCTCTGGAGGACTTGGCCCCCCCTTGCTTCCTGGCCTCTCTAGGAAGGCAGCTCGGTTCCCTTTAACCCTTGCAAGGCCAGTCCCCCCAGCTCAGGCCTCTCTCGCTCTCGCCATCCTCCCACAATCCCAGAATTGGGCTCTGAGAAGAGAAGCCTCCCTGGCAAAGAGAGGAGGCCTGGCGTGACGAAGAGGAGGGAAGACTAAGGAAGAAGAAGAGCCTTGCTGCCTGGGAAGCCGGAAACCTCATCCTGGCCTCTCTAGGAAGGCAGCTCGGTTCCCTTAACCCTTGCAAGGCCAGTCCCCCCCAGCTCACCCCCCCCCTTACATTGCACACTCGCTTAGCCAGGGCAGAGCTCTGATTTCTATTAATTTCTGTTTTTTTAAATGGCTCTAAGGGGGCAGCTTTTCCCTGGCTCCGCCTATGGCAAGGGGTGCTTTTGGGGGGGGGGTGGGATTTTGGCTCTTGGCTGGGCTCTGTGTTCAATAGTGGGTGGACGATGCAGCGATTTCTCCAAAGCAGCTCTTTATTTGCAAGCTGGAACAGAACTGGACAGCAAACAGCTCAGCCGGCGGCTTTTATAGGCTGTCAACATTCAAGCAACAACCACCCAGGGTTTCCCGCCTCAATTAACTGACGTGGACCTGAGTGAAAACTATATACAGTGATACCTCGGGTTACAAATGCTTCAGGTTGCAGACGCCTCAGGTTACAGACTCCGCCAACCCAGAAATAGTGCTTCAGGTTAAGAACTTTGCTTCAGGATGAGAACAGAAATCGTGCTCTGGCGGCACGGCGGCAGCAGGAGGCCCCATTAGCTAAAGTGGTGCTTCAGGTTAAGAACAGTTTCAGGTTAAGAACGGACCTCCGGTACGAATTAGGTTCTTAACCTGAGGTACCACTGTACACGATACTCCTGGTGGCCAGAGTGAGAACTTCAATACATAACACTCTGAGCATCTCCTTCCGTTGGCCGGAACCCAGAGGAAGAGCTTGCAGGGAAAAGGGCTTTGCAGGAGGCAAGGAAGCTCCTCCTAGAATTCAGGAGTGGAGAGATGGGAGGGGATCCCAGGGTCATCTAGTCCAACCCCCAGGGATCTCAGCTAAAGCATCCATGGCAGATGGCCGTCCAATCTCTGCTTAGAAACCTCCAAGGAAGGAAAGTCCACCGCCTCCCAAGGGAGACCTTCCCCCTGCCAAACTGCTCTTTGATGCCCCTCAAGGCAGCCGGTCCTGAGTTCCAGCACTGCTGAAACAATGGCACTGGCTGCCAAGGAGGAACCATGCGAGGTTCAAAAGAAATAAATCCCATTCTCGGCATAAATGAGTAATACTTTCCTATGCATGTTGCTATGCAAACATTCAATAGTATGCCATTTCCCCTTCCAGAAATGCTGAATTTCTAACTCAATGGACTAAAATTGGATGGTTGTTATGCTTAGGGAAGCTTTTGATATTTGATGGACTATTGTATTTTAATATTTTGTTGGAAGGTGCCCAGAGTGGCTTGGGAAAAACCAGCCAGATGTGCGGGGTATGTATAAATAACAATAATAATAATAATAATAATAATAATAATACTGCTGGGCAGATAGGCCTCCTTCTTCAAATGGTTTTGGGTTTTTATCTGTGTCATTTTCAATTGTTATTGATATTAATGTTGCATTCTGAATTTTAGATCTTATGATTTATGTGGAAATTC